AAGAACATTCTTAGCTCTCAGGCCGTAGGAAGCAGGTGGCAGGCCAGATTTGTCCCGTGGGCTGTAGTTTTGTAACCTCCGGTGTGGTGGTTGAAGTGGGCACATACATGAATATTTCCAGTATTATCTAATATGTGTGTGATAAAACATATTCTATGAGGCCTTTTTGAACTTTAGGGAAGAGACACAAGCCAATTGGGATTTTATAAAAGGTCTTGCAGAAAGGATACCTGAGTGAATCTTGAATAGCAAGGAAAGGAGAAAGGTAGAAAGGATGGAGGATTACATAAACAAAGACTCAGAGTTTTTGAAACCACGCAACATGTATAGATAAACTATATTTTTTCCCATTGGCACAAGAAAAATCAAATAACACAATATAGTACCTCAAACTTCCAAACATAATTTGTCCACCTTGGCTATCTATTGACACCATGTAGACATGCACTTACAAACAGAGCTGTCTAAGTCTGTTTGGGCTGCCCTAACAAATTACCATAGACTGGGAGGCTTAAACCACAGAAATGTGGTCCACACAGTTCTGCAGGCTAAGACCAAGATCAAGGTGCCAGTGTATTCAGTTTCAGGTGAGGTCCTTCTTCCTGGCTTGCAGATGGCTGCATGCTTTCTTGCTGTGACCTCACATATCAGACAGAGAGGACAAAAGGAGAGGGGAGGAAAAGTAAGCACACACTTTGCTGTCTCTTCGTACAAGGACATTAATCCTATCAGATCAGGGTCATACTCTTATGACCTCATTTAACCTCAGTTACCTTCTTATCAGCCCCATCTCCAAATACAGTTGCATAAGAGGGTAGGGCTCCAGCATATGAATATGGGCGGACACAATTCATTCCACAGCAATAGGTGATCCAAGTATGTACCATGATTTGCACGTAATTTTTCTGCTGCTCTTTTCCTTGTTCNAGGTGATCCAAGTATGTACCATGATTTGCACGTAATTTTTCTGCTGCTCTTTTCCTTGTTCTTCATATACCCAAACTTGTGAAGTCTCTTGCCATGGGAGACAAGGTCCTTAAATCTCTATCATTCCATTCTGAAGCTTTATAACTCAAGAAATACACATAAAAATCAATAAGCATACTTCTACATTTAATCAAAATAGGGTCCTCGCAGCTAAAGCAACTCTCAGTTTCAACAGGATGTCTCTGAATGGTGCATAGTCATTAAAGCCAGTGAGCCAGTATACCATGGTGCAGATTTGCAATACCATGTCCACCTACAAATCCCCAGGAAAGGTCCATTATTCACATTTATTGTCATGGTGGATTTCAGAAACAATAAATGCTGTTCAAATACAAAGCTACTTATTTCCAAACTGCAACAAAACTGGACATTTTTTTGTTGCTGGAGATTTTTGTGGTAACCATATTCCTTTTTGTATACTTAACAAGGTCATTTGTTTTGACAGGTTTTTATACTCTAACAGTTAAGACAAGATGATATGAACAGAAAATGAATATTTTGCACAGGAATGATACACTGTTATCTAAAATTTTGGCACCAAAAATTTGTATGAAATTACACCTGTAGGTTTTGATTTCATAATGATGCTTCATTGCCTGAGGCACGTAACAACCCTGATGAGCTTTCTGATACTCAAGAAATATGAAATTGTTATTTCTTGATGTAACAGTATGTTGACTGTATTTCATTCAAGTTACTCAGAAACTGATAATCTCTCTACAGATCAATGTTTTTGTGTGATATTATTCTAGACTGGCATCCTTCATTTAAGAGAGATGGTGACAAATTTCCAGTGAAATAAATTAATAATCCCATTTTTACTGATATGTCATTGCAGACAAAGATAATAGGAATAAATCACATATTTTAAATAAGGGAATGTTGAAAGAAATGCAAAGATTTACTCAGAAGTATCATTTCCCATGTCCACTTTCCTTTTGGATGCACCATACTTTAAGTAAGGCTGTGGTCTCTATTATGTGGAAACATAACTTTAAAGTGAACAACCATTAATCTCCAAGCCAGGTTTATTCTGAAAACACTTATTGAACCCCTACCATGCACAAGCATTGTGCTTGAATAAGATACAGCCGCTGCTTAGAAGTACCTTTAAAGTGGAAGGCTCAAGCTGAACTCATTTAATGTTTATTTACTCCTTTGTGTCTTTGCAAAATTTACCAAAACATGCAATAAACAAATGCTACTCTTTTCTTCTGGAAAAAAAATGTTACAAAATTGAACACAGAACTTTAATCATAGTTTAAGTACCATGTTTTTTGT